TGCCTGCGGCCCCCGGCCGTGGCTGCTGGTGTTGGAATTTTTGGTCCTGATGAAGCATTTCCCCTTCCCGCCATTTCAGTAAAGTCGCTTCTCATAACTACATTCATGAAAGAAAAGTAAAATTGTCAGTATTGTCCTTCTTGTGATAAGTTTCATCAACACAAACATCCTGCTTTACTGTAGGTCCAATGTGTAGAAACGGTTACATTTAAAAGGTTGTGTTTTTTTTTTTTTTTTTTTTTTTTTTTTTTTTTTTTTTTCAAATTTCAAATCTAATGAACCAATCACAGCAGAGAAAATCATCCTGGGTTAGGTGTAGAGAAATGTTAACCATATATATGTCTTACAAAAAGAAATTACAAAACAAACAAATACACACTGGACCTTTGGATTAAAGAATACTACCTAAACATAAGATAACTGCATGGACATATACTGTATATACTTACATGGCACAAAAGAATATCTAATATGATAGCATGAATAAGAAAAGAGGCAGAAAGATGATGAAGCTACACACAAACACGGAGTGAGATTACAGTAGTTTCACGAATAAAAGTGTTTTGGACAAATTGAACACAGCTAATCCTAGCATGTAGAAACACAATGTCAACCATGGATGAATCTATTGTATTAAGTGGGACAAATATAGAAGCGTTCAAAAAAAAAAAATGTCAATCAAGCAGTGCAGTGGTGTCAAATTGATTTTCGGTTTTTCTTTTTGTTTTCATGCAAACATGAACGAGTTTATTAGAGAGGAAAAAAATGGAAATGTCATTATATATTTTTACAATTTTGTAACTAACATCATCAAGTGGGCCATATTGTCGCACCTCTAGCGGGCCAGTTTTGGCCAGCGGGCCTTATGTTAGGAGTAGAGTATAGAAGTTAGGTCAAGTTAAAGAGGAAAAGGCCACCAGCATCGGGAGTTTGGACTTACGAGTGAAGGCCGTGAACTCCTCCTTCCATTTGGGCAGACATTGTTCTCTTCTCAAACTTCAGCTCCCCCGAGTACATCATTGAGCTAAAAAAAATGAAAGAGTGAGATTTCACCGTCCAACAAACTTACAGCGCAGCAAAACGAAACGACGCACGACGACGTGATTTCAAACCCACCGTAAAATTGACAGACTCTTGGCTCCTATGTCCTGGCAGCCGTGCTGAATGCCAGCGATGAGGTAAGGTACAAATTTATGAATTGAGCCTTTGTCTTGGACCGACCCTGAGACGCCTTGGGCCACCTTCACCTTGTCTCCCTCACTGGACATGTTCACATAGAATGCAAAAGTCACATTGGCATGATCTATTTGTGGATTCCGTTAGAAAAAAAGGCATACGAACATTTTTCGAAAGGAAGCAGAGGTAGGAGGTTAAAAGGAATGTGAAATGAATACGTTCAAATCCATTAAAAGCCTGGTTAAAAACGTGAGTGTTGAGCCTGACTTTACAAAAAAAAACATCAACCCTGAGGTTTTCCGGCAGGCCATTCCACAGGCGGGGGGCAAAGGAATGAAAAGATGGGGTTTTTG